TTTGTGTTGATTTATTTATTAATTTTTTACAAAATTAATCTTGGAGTTTAGAAGGGTATTACAACATGGGTCAAGCAGATGACTGGAGTGTGATCCATCCAACCTAGCATCCAGAACTCAATTGAAAAAGTGCACACAAACCTGCTGGTTAGTGGATGCTAAAAATGAAGAGGAAAGGAATAAAATATTTGGTAAGTGGCCATGAGATTTCGTCTCCCTAACTCCTTTCCATAAATTTCTCCTAATTTCTTCCCTTGTCTATGCAGATGCAATGAAGAGTGAAGATGTCATGTTGTGATTAATGAAGGAAACTTAGGTTGTTGCCTCTTCGATCGGAATTTTGAATACGCATTTTACTAGGAGAATGTCTACCTTAGACATTCCTGTCGGGGCCTTCTTTGGCCAGATTATAGGACAAATTTCACAAACTAATCCCCCCGCGCTCAATATAAGATTCAAGTTTCCCCTAATCATGCCTTGGTATATGAAATTATGTAGTCTCCTTGTCAAGAAGGGGATGAAAGGTTGGACTTCATTCCTGAGTTAGAAGAGGTTCAGACTGAGGGTCTTACCCCTAAGCTTTTTTAGCCTAGGTCTACAGGCAGGCGTCCCACCGTGTATGTGGAGTCAACTCTTGTGTTGTTGGCACGCTATGGTCCGAATACGGATAGAGAATTATGGTATCTATTTCTGATGACGATTATGCTTACTTCTCGGGGCTCTATTAAGAGTTTATCAAAGGGAATTGGTTGAACTATCCTACTAGGCTCGTTGGGTATCAATCGTCCTGGCCTTCAGTGCGGCCACTTGTAGGGAGGTTTTCTTACAAGACCACCTTCATCAAGAGAGGAAGAGGCTCAACAAACGGGTTGATGATCTTACAATTGAGCATAACGGATATCTATAAGAGGTCCAGGGAGCTTAAATTTTATTTATGGTCATGGAGGCGGTCTTGGAGCCTTTCGAGTATCCGGACCCTCTGGTCAAAAAGGTGAGTAAACTTGTCCGGGAAATGACTGAGGGGAAAGACTTTAGAATAAGTGAATTTCTCTTTGGAACTTTCTCGGAAAAAAATACAAAAGAGTTGGAGTAGTCCTTAAAATAATATCGAGATAACTAGAAGAAGGTTGAGAGAGATCTTTGTGTATGCGCCAAAGGAACCTTAAGTTCTTGAAGAAGTTACACAATTCGTTGCAAGATGGCTTTTCTGTCACTGAATATTCTTTTGAGAATTCCTTGAAATAGGTAGAATATTTTTATCCAACTGTACTATTCTTTTAAGATCGGGATTGTCTTAATCAGGATATTGAGAATGGAAGGAGTTTCCCCCTTGAAGACTAGTGTTTTCTTCTTACTTTTTGACTGACATGTTGGTATATGGTATGTGTGCATAACTTAGAAGTCCATATTATATAATGTATATGTATTTTATATTATTATTTATTCGTATTATACTTGATTTGTGATGTTGTTTTTGGTTAGGGCTCATTCCTCAAGGACTTATCTTTTCCTCCAAGTTTTATGCTCGAATTTTATTTGACGTCTATGGGGAAGATGCTCGGCTAGGGTCGATAACCTTTCCCATGCCCCAGGGTGAAGATCAGGATCAAGGTTGACATATTGGTGGACTTACTATAGCCTTTGGAGTGGACAACTACCAAGAGTAGGTAATCCAGTTATTTTCCATTTTTAAGGCTTGCTTTCTTTGTGTGTGTGTGTGTGTGTGTGTTGGAATTATGGGGTTTTGGTTGCTTTAGCAATACACATGTGTCATTTTTTACAATACCCCTAAGTCTTTATAATGAGACTTAGATCTCTCTTATCGTACCCCCGACTCATTATTACCTTTAATGATCACAAACGAAAAGATAATTTATTGAAAATTCCTTTCTTTACTCAAATGTTTTAATACATCATAGTCTTTTTTAATTACAAAAATGAAATAAAAATTTAACATAATTGATTGGTCATGCCACCGCTTGTTAGCCACAAGTTTGGTGGCAGTTGTTTTTGTATCATATTTCCTTGGATATCCCTAGGTTATCCTTTGTTGCTTGTCTAGTTGAGGTGACATGATCCGCTTGCAAGTGGCTAGATGGCCATGTATTTCAGCTTCCCAGTTAAAGAGGTTACATGCGTTTTTATGGTTTTAGCTCTGCCTTCCTTCTGATCCGGCTGACGATCATTATCTTTCTCTCCATCGCACTCTTGTAATGGTTTCTCGTCCTAAAGGTGCCTCTTGTAATGGAAGTGATATATTAGATTTTCTCCTTGTCTCATTCATCATTCCCACTAATTGCTTCTTTAACTTTTCCCTGATCACATCTTTCATCCAGAAGGGACGTATATCCAGCTAGGGCAGATTTAGTTAAGGTTAGTGCAAAAATCTTTTTCTTCACGTCTTTGTCGATGTGGAAGTAATCTATTTGGTCGCCCATATATTCAACGTCCCGGTTCGGGTCTCTAGTTCTGTTATAATTATGGAGCTTTTGAGGCTTCACTCTTCGGGATCCTATCGTCCCATATGCTATCCAACAGAGGGTTCTTCTTGTTGGGGGAGTTCACTAGGAGCATTGATACAAAGTTGAGGATTATGCACCTTTGTGAGAGAAATGCCAATTGTCCACCTAAAACCTTAAGGTGATAGGTGAGTGAATTCTCCCACTTATAAATATTCAAGTCACCATATTCATATCTAATGTGAGACTATTTCTCCACTTACTCACATTTGGATTATTATTCTAACACTTCTTTTGTAGTTGAGCGGGGACCTTATCTTCATTCTTTTCTCTCCTTATAGGTTGGCAAATTTCGGGAGGAGTGTGGTTTCCCCTTTCTTCTTCAGCATTAGGGAGAGGAGTATGATGCTTGTGTCATCAACGAAATGGATATTTTTGGACCTCTTCCGAATCTCTTATTGGTTAGGTGGTTTTATGCAAAGTCGCTTTATGCATAATGTTGTTCTTCGAAATAGTGTTGTGCAGGCTCTCTTTGATCCGAGTTAGTTTGTCTGCCAAGGCATGGAAGTTTTGTTGTTGGACCATCTGGTACATGTTGTTCAATAGTTCATTATCTCGTTGTAGGCCAAGATTAATGTGTAAGAGCTGGAGTCGGGGAGTGTTTCATGTATGCTTACATTATGAGCTAATGTAGGTCGGAAGCAAACTTTGCCTAGGTGGAATTGTGGAGAGGATCCGATAAACGGAGGAGGTTGAGAAGTTTCTTAATCTTCCATAGGTTGGAAAAAGTTTGGAGGTGAAGAAATAGAAGGAGAAGTTGTCAATACTTGATCGTTTGTCCCTCAAAGAGGAGACGAAGGATTCTTAGCCGATTCGGCAACTGCAGCTGCTTGCTGTTGAACAGTGAAACGAGTGGCTTTTGAAGCTTCTGTCGTTTGACATATCTGATGGGAAAAGTTTGACTCCAAATTCGACGAAGTTGGTCTGGATAATGAGATATGCAATTTGATCGAAGGAGATCTGGATCTGATTCGCTTGAATCGAGAAACAATAAATTGTGGAGATTGTAGGAATCAAAAGTAAATTATCACATACAACGCCAATGTTCTGCTTTGAAACTAAATGATGATCAAAGAGGTTAAATTCATGTGTTGTGGTTATTTAAGGTTTTCGATGCGATGGAGAATGGACTTACCAAAAAAATTAGCACTCTAATGCTTAAGTCAGTAAGGGAATAAGAAGTAAAGTTTGAATGGAAAGATTTGAATACCTGATAAATAGCTTGATACCTGAGTTTTAAATATGAGAATTAGTTAGCAAATATTCATACGTGAGAGGCCGTGTGATGCGACTACTCGTCAAATCAATATGAACTGTTAGACATTAATTCAGATGAAAGTTTTCCTCCTTAGTGGAAAGAAGGAGACCACCTGTCTTATGCTGAACATTTACCTCGACCCAGACAAATAACACATGTTTATGTAAAATAAATAATAAATTCAAAGTTAAACTTTAATAATAAATTTAAACAAGATTATACATTCATAAAACTAAGGTGTATAAAACACTTGAGTTGAACATGGCATTGAACACTTTTGGAAAATATCAGGTGTCACAACTAATACACAACTAATACAGTATTATTTAGTATCACATATCATTTTTTTTATATAAGATATTTTGAAATTCACTTTGTTAACAATGTTAAAAAGTTCAAAACTTTAGAGTGCTCTTCTTTTACTCTAGATTTGAATTCTGCAAAATGCTAGTGATTCTTATAATAGGTCAGTTTATACATAGCACTTTGTTCTGCTCTGATTTTAAATGGATTCTCAGTAGTAGATACTGAAATTGATTCTCTCGAATTAATCGGTCGTATGTCCAAATATAGAGTTTAAAAAAAAAAACACACAATGTTAAAAAAATTAACAGCTAGATTAGTAAGTGTTAAGTAAAGATTTCCTCTGTTTTGTCCAAACAGAAACTTGCAAAGATATCCTCTATCTTGTATGTTCTCTGTTTTGAATCGGTTGTTGTTTTATAACACATAACTTGCGAAGCTTTTAACTCATACACACTTGAAAGTAAGTACCATAATAGAATATTTGTGAGTTAGAAATATGAATAGTGAGAGAGATCCCCTTTTGTAGTTGCATGAAAATGCACAAACTCAACAAAAAGAGACTTCAAGTGGACCCTTATTTTAACACTCTCAAATAACTAACTTTTTTGATTCATTACCCTTTCATCTTTCTCCATCCATGCTCTCTTAAAATCTCTCTCCCTTTCCCTCACACAAAACACTCTACTTCATTCCCTTTTCCTCTTTATATTTCAAGTTTTCTCTCTTATCAATGTTGTTGAAACACTCTCATGCATTTGCCTTTGCCTTCATCTTCAAGTCACTACCATTGTGTGAGAACTCATAAAATACATCAAAACATGGATGTTGTTTGTTTTGGTTTTAGTTTTAGAAGGTTGTTTCTTGGAGCTTTGTTATCTTTAGGAATCATGTGCTTTATGTTCCTTACTATCTCAACAATGAATGTTCAAACAAAAAGATCAATTCTTGTTCCAATGAATGTTAATGTTATCTCCAAGCATTTAAAGTTGGTTGGTATGAAGAGACATGTTCTACATTCAAATTCTAAACTTGTCTTTGTTAGCAAGAGAAGAGTGCCAAATGGACCTGATCCAATACATAACAGGTATGTGTATATACACATTTATATCATATATTTTTTTCATATATTATACAACACTTCTAAAAAATGTGTCACTATCGATTTGATACTGACATTTGTAATTATATTATGATGTCGATATATTTGTATCAGTATTATATTTAATATTCATAAATGTGTTTTATAGATAACTTTCTATAATATTTTAAGATTTAAAATTTAATAATAATATTAATTTTTATAAATATATTAATTTCATTATTAATTCTTATTAAAATATTATTCGCTCTTTGTGTCCACATAATTTTCATAATTAATTTAAGTTGTCATTGTTAATTACAGTGATATTTGTCAGACTCAAAACATTTGTCATGTGATTTTTTTATATGATGTGGCATTATTAAAATCTTAAAATATTAATAATTTAATATTTAATTTGGAATTATGGATATATTAATACTTAATAATGCCATGTATAATTCTATTTTATTGTATTCATTAGGTTTAGGTTTGCACAGTTTATCTTTTACTAAAAGAAAGCTGGTAATACTTGAAGACACTCAAGAAAGAGTGATAGTTTTCACTCTTTATCAAAAGCTTCTTTAACAAACAATCTTTCTCTTATTTTTATGAGAAATCAAAAAAAGACATTGGGTGAAGAACTGTACCACTTTAGTTATTGGAGGGAAAAGAAGATGAAAAAAAAATTAATTAGGTAGTAGTTCCTTTTCCTTTCTATGAAAAGCTTGATTAATTTATTTAGGATCATGAAAAACTTTTAGACACATTTCAATTCAAAATAAAAATGAAATTTTCTGTTTATTGATGTTAATTTGTTAAGTGGTCTAAATTTTAGGAAACATAAAAAAATAAAAATTATTTTAAAATTAAGAATAATAAAAAATATTTAAAAAATTAATTCAATCATAATTCGATTTGATTTAATGACGAATTGACAGATTCATCAATTGAACCAGCCTGTTTGATTTAGTTTTTAAAACATTTATTTTTATGTAATTTAATTATTATCATGTAATTTATCTCCTCCTTTTCTCTATCTATCTATTATTCTAAATATTTTTGTATTTTGATATATGAATTCAGGAGAGCAGCAAAGTATAGACAACCACCTAATCAAGCATGAACGTTGTGAAGTTTCACAACAAGTTTGAGGAAAAATCATAGAAGAAATCATGATTTTTTTGTTGAAGAATTCAAAGTGTGTTCTATAAGATATTATTGTTGTTACATAGTATGTTAAGTGTTTTCAAGCCTACAAGTGTGATCCTAATGCTCTCTCTTTTTTTTTCTTCTTCTCTCTAAATGTAACTTTTTGTTGTTGTAAATGAAGTATTTAGGTAATGAAATTAACCAAAATTTTGGATTCAATAATGTCCTATGTATTTATTAAGTAAAAAAAAAGATATAGTCTCCATGCATCATACAATTAGGCTTTAATTTTTTACTAGTAGTCTTTAGGAATTTCTTTATGGTGCCACCTTCTTTTAAGTGCCTAGTGTTCAACAAAGCACTTTCCCTAATTTAAAGGTTACACATTTCATTGATTAATTTAAACATCATGGTTTTCTTTCTTGTGTCATGTGGACCTATAATGGTGTCACTTGTTTATTAATTAAACAATTATAATAAAAATAAATTTTTTTGTTAATCGAGTTCAACGAATAATTATAAAAACATTTAATTTTAATGACATATATTCAAACTCGCAACATTTTATTTATTCTCTTTTAAATATTATAAATTTGATCATTAAACTATTAGACCAAAAAAAATTATTCTTAAACCCTGAATCTATTGTTAATATCGTAAACTGAACAATTTTAATTCGAATTTAAAACATCACTAATTTATATAAATTTTTAAAGATTATTATCACTTTACGAATAGTGTCTCACACATTATGCATGATATTTTTATTTTTGTTGTGTGTTAATAAATTAATTTTAATTAAAATCGCTAAATTTGGCAAATTCTAAAGATATGATTATTGATTAAATTAAGGAGAGGTTCCAAATTGAGGCATCCCACAGTACTAAAGGGAAATGAGCAATCTCTGCAGCTTAGTGTGCTTTTTCTTTATCTTTGCTTTTTCTTTCAAGACTGATTATTTTTATAGATTCGAGAAGGATGTGACTTGGTCCAAAGTAAGTAAGATTCAAACAAATGAATGAATATATATTGCATGGGAGACAGATTCTCAGATTATGGCAGTTTATGTTTCTCTTTATTGACTGATGAAATTCTGCTCAATCGGATCACAAATTGTCATACTTGTCTATTTTCATTAGGGCCCCTACATTCTTTCTTGTCTTCTTAGTAGCAAAAGGGTGGATTGAAGTGAAGTACACTTCAATTTTTTGTTTCAAACTGTTGGAAATTTCATATTGATGTGTCATATGGTCAAGTTAGTGATTATAAATGAAGGATACTAACTCTTACTTTCTTGTATCTTAATTTTGTAGTGAAATGGTTACCACCACAAGATATCAATGAGTGTGAAACTAGAATTTAGTCTTGTGATGGTTTTATTCTTGCCTATGTTTGATTCTTCATTGGTGTCAATTAAGTTTTTGTTAATATGGTTGACAATGAATTAATCTTGATTAAAAGTAAAATGAATGTAACATGTTCTATGATTAGATACAATGAGTAATAATAATAATGGTAAATTTTAATCTTAAAATCAATTTTTAATGTGAAATTAAAATGTTCAATCACAATAAAAAAAATTGGTATGCTGAGACAATCAAAATAAATAGTGTCAATTGAAAATAATTTTCTATGTAATAAAATATCAATTTAACTTATTAGAAGAAGATAAAAGACAAAAAAAAACGCAATAACTAGTTTATCTAATTTTATCAAATAATTTACTCTAAGAGAGAGATCACTTCTCCAACTCATTATACTTTTAAAAGGTGTTATCAAAGATTACAAATGAATAACAAAAAAATAGTTATCCAAATTCTCAAAAAAAAATCTATTTTCTACTCAAGTGTTTCTCAATTTCTTTAACTTTCTATATATGAATCACACAAACTCAGGATTTTTAGAAGTATCTCTCAATCCCTTTAGATATCCTAAAAAAAATTATCAACCCTTGTCTCTCTAATGTTTCTGTTATTAGGATTGTCACATCTTCCATATGCATTCAATAGTAAAGTTTTAAAGGTTATGATAACAAAAATACAATGAATACATATTTAAAAATGCTGAAAACTATCCATAGCAAACTCGAAATATAACTCATTAAAGAACAGATTTGTAATATCCTATTTGGAAAATTCCTAGATTAGAGCGCCCTCGCCTAACAATTGGATCGCCCTGGACAGAATCCAAAGGATCCATTCATACGGTTCGCCCAACATGGAAGCTAAATGAAGAAAGAGTCTTTGTTGACTCTCAAAATATAGTAGGTCAATAACATCCATAATAATAGGGAATAGTTAAGACCACGTTCGGGGACCATAAACCCTAGTCCCCAGGAATCCTTATAAATAAACAATCCCTCAATGGGATATGAAGACTCTCTCAAGTCATATTCACTCAATACCGTTCACTAATACTCAGAGAGCACTTCACTCATAATATTCCTAACACCATTAATCTAATTGCCCACTAGAAACCTAGTAGAGCCGACCACCAACAGGGTCTCTCACCTCACGTAAGTTGGTCCCTTAAATAGCCTAAAAAATCGTCGCACAAGGCTACTCGTCGCCGTGAACTAGCACTCATCCATAAACATGTAATATACCTATTGAGGGCCTCCGAGTCTCCCTGCCATTATAGGGGGAGCACGCACACACATGTACTTTTTGGACAGTATAATGGCATCCACCATGGGCCGCGGTAAAAATAATCTGGCCACACCTCTTTTTAAACAACCATCACCTTCACTGTTGTACCCTTAATTTCAACACCTAACCATTATCAGACATGGTAAATAGAAGAGCTTCATCCCTTACTCCCGAGGGTACCAGCGGTACAGGAGATGTTGATGTCGTGATGGAGATACGAGCCGCCATGGATGAATTACGACACGACAACTGGACGTTGGAAGATGACATCCACAACATCAGATAACACCAACATGTGATCAATCCCTCAAAAGAGGTGGAATTGCTAGATCCCAACCACTCTCGGACGAAATATGAGGGGTCATGTTCCCAAGGGATTCAAACCTCCATCTTTGTCCAAGTTTGATAGATGTAGCGACCCCTACGAACACATCACCTCCATCAACACACACATGGCCATCATAGAAGCAACAGACCCCCTAAAGTGTAATTTATTGTCGAGCACCCTCAAAGAGGCCACACTTAGGTGTTACATGGACCTTCCATGTGCCTATATCAAAATCTATCAAGAGTTGGTAAGGAAGTTGGTACACCAGTTCACTATCAGTCTTCATAGGAATATGTCCACCATCATCTTGTTCAACATCCGCCAAGGTCCATTGGGATTGCTGAGGGGATACCTCTTCCACTTTAATGAAGCAACCATCAAGGTCGTCCGTCTGAACCAATAACTGTATGTGGGGGCATTCTCTAATGGACTTAAGGTGGGACACTTCAATGAATCTCTCGTCGAAAAGTCAACGCTCACACTAGTTGAAATAGTTTCCAGGGTGAAGTCTACATTAAACGCAAGGAAAGCAATGCTGAAAAGAAGGCTCATGACACCAAGGAGCGTGTCACCGGCGCCAAGAGCTATTATCCCTCAAAGAAGCATAGTTACACATATCCTGTGAAGGACAAATCCATGTTTAAAAGGGTGGGAAAAGCGACAGAAAGTTTCACGCATTTGAAACCCACCGAGAATAGACTTGGAACGAGGTATTCCACCTACATAACATCTTAACACCACCTACCCTCAGGTCCGAGGTAATGGGATCTGAACTGATGAGGTGGTGTAAGTTTTATAGGGTTAAAGGACATTATACCGATGACTGCTACCAGTTAAATAAGGAAATAGAAAAGTTGATACATGAGGGCTACCTCAAGAAGTACGTGAAGGGAGGCCTCTCTAACTAGGAAGAACGATGTAACACACATGAGCGAGAACATGCCAGAAGTTTGGTGTAACACTCCAATTTAGAAACTATGTTGCTTATGTATTTATTTATGAATATTTTATGATTTATTGTGTTTATTAGATTATTAATGGAGGTGTAATACCTTGAGTTAGAAAATATATTTGATTAATTAAATAATATTTTCGTGTTGTTAATAATTAAAATAATAACAAAATATATAATAAATTAGAATGTGTAGAGATTTTAAGGGCATATAGGTAATTGCATGAGGGTAAGTGAGGGTATATGAGGAAAAGCATAGTAAGGGACAAATCATAATAGAAAAAGGGGAAATAGGGAAAATGAAGATTATTTTGTGTTGTACGTGAAAAGTTGGACGAAAAAGAGAAAGAGGTTAGGACACAGAGGAACCAAGGGAACATCCATCCATAGAGAAAGAAGAAGCAATTTCTAGAGAAAATCTAAGGTAAGGGTGGGTAATGGTTTTCAATTATGATTTATATGAGGTTATTGTAGACTTAGGGTTTTAGATTTCCTTGATTTGGTGTTGAGTTGCATGAATTTTCATGAAATTGGTGAAATATTGATGATGAGTTGTATACATATGTTGTGTTGTGAAAACCTTGATGATGTTATCGTGAGTTGAATTATTGTTGACATGTTTTAAGAATTATGTTGATTGATGTGAATTAGAATGATAGATTTTGATGATATTATGCCATTGATTGATGTTTGAAGTTCTGACCTTAAGTGTGTTAATGGTGATTTAGAGATGATGAAATGATGTTGTGATGTGTTTATTTCCCTTGATTCATGTGACATATGATATAATATGTTTTGGGATTGTTTGAAGTTAAAACTTGGGGTTTGTGGTCTGTTAAAAGGCTGAAAGATAAGAGAGATCACACAAAATCGCGTGGAAAAGTGGTTTTCTGGGCTCTATTACGACCCATAATAGCTATTACGGGAGGCTGTAACATCCCTCTGGATTATGGTACCAGAGGAATTCCCAAAGTGAAATTTTGTATTGAGAGTATTACGGGTTGTAATAGCTATTATGAGTGACCGTAACAGCTCCTTGGATTTTG